CCATCTAGAATCAGATCGTAAAACAAAATGTGCATCAAGGTCATATAATGTCTAATGTATATACCAAGTTTGAACAAAATCCATCTGTAAACAGCCGAGAAATGGTTGATTTTTTAGCACAAAAATGGCCGCCATTCGGCCATCTTGAATCAGATCGTGAAACAAATTGACGTGCATATGTATAGTATCATGTATGATGTATGTGTGAAGTTTGATTGTGATTGGTCCAGGCATTTCTAAGATACAGGTCCGGACGCACGCACTAACGCACGCACGCACGGACACATGGAGGTCAAAACATAAGTCCCCGTTTTCGGACTGAGTCCAAACAGGGACTAAAAAAAAGTCAGTTAATGTCAGTTGCCCGTGCCATGAGAGCCGGCCACAGAACCAAAACAATCTGTCAGCCTTCGTCGCCCACAGCATCGATATGATTTTATATTGCATAGAAATGAACACTAAATGCTATCGAACCTGAAACAAAAGTAACCGTCCGATCTAAACGACCTGAGTCTATGAAAATCAAGTCTTATCTCCTTTGCTTTTCCGATCGACAGAAAGGGCCAATCTACCATGACTGTTTGCTTATCATCAACTCACAAAGGTCAAAAACGTTTTAAACGTGAATTTAACGACAAACGTTTTTTGAAACGAATCAATGTTCTGGTTATCTCTGGTGTGACTGCAGTTTTTGGAACAAACTTGAGGGACTGTAAAATGCAATTTATGGTACGCGACTTAAAAACGCAATTTACATGTGAATTTCCCAACAAAGGTTTAAATGTTTTAGTTGTATGTAGTGTGGCACTAGTGTGGAAAGCCGTCAAATAAAATGCCAACAACCTTCGAACGCATTCATGATTGTTATGCTAATTTGAATTTTGGCATGTTACATGTAGTTGACAAAGAAATGAAAGATTTCTTGAATTTTCGGCGATAGGTTCGTGGATTTGAGCCAAAATGTTATCAGCAAAACTCAGAATGCGAAAGTGACAGCCACTGAAACGTAATTGAAGGCAAATGAACACGTCAAGTAAAAAAGAATTTTGTATTGTAAAATGGAGCACATACCATTTTGACTCTTGAGGGGAATGGAAATCAGTTGATTTGAGGGTGTCACAATAAGTGAGGGAGTAAATTGTTTTTATGCTACGAAAAAAATGCAGACCTTGAACGTATCTTTTGGACTTTAGTACAAGTTCATTTTTGTTTGATTACCTAACATTTTTAGGCTCATGTGCTGTAAGTTACAGAGCACATACCTAAGCGGCCATCCCTCAGCAAACATTGAAGCAAAGGCATTTTCGATGTCAAAATCGCGAAACTCTCCCTTTTTATGCAAACTGGGTAGATATCCAGAAACCAACACATACCAAAAATTATATCTCAAAAGTGAATATTTGTGGTGTATTTTAAGTCTAACTGGACCATAAGTTGGAATTCGTTAGTACTCTAAATATCCAAATATATTTTAGTACAAGGTAGTAATCAACTTTCAATATTTTCTCAAGCTTAAAATTATTAATTATTGTTTGACATTAAAATTGTATACATTCTCATAGTTCTGTTTAATTTCAGGATCCAAATTTATGAATAAATAGGAGGGGGATACGAGGTTCAAGGTCAGATAACAATTTGTGGGCATGCTGCACATTGTAATAAAAAATGAAAATGGAAATCGTTTTTGTTTATCATTATATTTGTATGCAAAGCAGAATTTATGGAGATACCATGCAGCCAGCCTGCCCCACCCAAGTACCTGGTTTCGAGCACTCACACGTGTTTTGGCAAATTAACAAACCCACCTTTGCAGCCATTCTCTGTAAAACTCTAACTCGGGTTTATATAAGACGTCTGGGTTAGCTTTGCAGAGAGTTACAAATTGCTTTAAGAGCGTTAGCTGAGACTGGTCCATTTCTAACTGTCAGCGAATCTCAAACGAACGACGCAACGTTGTATTAACCGTGTTGAGACGACAGAGCTTGTGCCTTGTCACGTGACTGAAACAAGGAGAAGAGGGATTCCCCCGTTCTTACTTCTGGAAAAAGAATATTCAGGGGCCTTCAATGAAGTAGTCGATTTTATATCTATCTATTGAATTTGCTGGGGAATGATTTATCGGTAGTATCACATAGATCGATAAATCGATTTTATTATGAAGGAGGGCGCACTCGTGATGTGTGGAGAAGAGTGGTGGTAAACAAACAGCCAGCAATATGCAATATGGCTGCCTCCATCATGAACAACGTTCGAAAAGATTGTTTCCGTATTAGTTGTCAAGTGATCGGACTGAGTCTCAGTCTGAGACCGTTGACAACACCAAGAAATACATTTTCACGGACATATAGTTCCAGTGAGTGCCATTTTGTTTATTTGAAGAATGGAATAACTTATTTAAAATCTGTTTTTGGTATACATTTCTGCATACAAATCATCTGTAAGTGTTGGGTAGTGTTCGTAGCAGGGCTCATACCACTAATTAGACACCATAAACGACAATGTTAGCATAAAATTAGCATTTGGGATGACCCTTCCAAAGTTACAAAGATCAAAATATTATTTAATTTGTTGAAACCACATGTCTGTAATATAATTCTGGCCAGCAAAAATGTTGGCCAGCTCTACGTTCAATATTCTCAGAAACGCAGAGTTTTCTAATCGAGAGTTAAAGCGAAATGGTCGTCACCTGCGCACGCGCGGGAATTGAGTCCCAAGCGACGATAACAACACAGGCTAAAAACGCAAAGACTCATGGGTAGACGCTTGTTTGTAAACAATAACATGCTATGGCCATCTGACGCATGTGCAGGTGACGACTCCCCTGCTTTAAACAAAGTCAGCTGCACACTCAAGTCTAACAGCTGATGTAATTGATGTACGCCCTCATACATGTACATTGCGCTTCATATAGTGAGAGAAAACCCATAGGCACATGACACTGTTAGTACATCCATGATTGGTAGCATGTGACTTTAAGGCAATGCCTGGTGAGCAAGTGCAGCCAAGTAGCTTATTAATTTACAAAAAAAAATCAGAACTGACGTAACCATACAACAATAATAATAATAACTTTATTGCATCCTTAGAAGTACAAATTTTTTATTGGTTTACAGCAATAAATATATAAGTAATTGAAATAATAGCAAAGTAAGTAGAAAAAAAAAGTTAAGGCATTATTACCGTACTCGACCACGTTAGCACCCATGCCCAGGCCAGCGCCCACCCCCTACTTTATTCGCTGAAATCCATTCCAACAGATTGTACTTCGACATCGATAATTCACTTCCGCATTGCGTTACCGGGAAGTCTAAGAGAATTTCCGAAGAATTGCGTGGGTACAACACAGCATTCTGATTGCTTAATAACCAACTTGACTCGTTAGGTCAAACAACGCTGCTGCAGGTCAAATCTACAAATGCATCATGGCGGAAATTGATTTTCATCGAGAGTTTGCGTACGATCCAACACATTCGTCGGTGGATATAATGATGAGAATTTTGACTTTGACTGTGTTCCAACAGACTCTAATGCTTTTAATTTCATAAATTCTGGTGGTACGTAATTAATATTGTAATAAAATGTGCATATTTTCTGTGATCATTTCTGTTTCTTCATTGTAAAAATCAATGACGACACAACTAATTACGTAATTTGATTTCCCTTAAAGACCTAATTAACCCCCTCAATCTGTCACGTGATGAATCAAATTTTTCATTTGCACTCTTTTTCGAGGGGGGTGCTCGGGTAAGCGCCCACCCCTAAAAAATCATGATTTTCTGAGTTGAGGCCCCTGGTTGCTAACACGGTCGAGTACGGTATATCCAAAGAAAGCTCATTTCAATGAGTAAGAAGACAGCATAGGGTTCAGTTCATGTATGATTCATAATTCCATTAAAAGAATATAATTCATGCAAATGTTGTAAGACATTTGTGCAGAAAAAATACAAATCAACTTTCTAAGAATATCAAGGTTCTAAATACTACCATAGTGCAGTTCCTTGATGCATCAGCATATACAATGAATATAAACAAAAACATTGTCAATGTCCTTGTTTGAGACTATATTCTATAGCTGTTTTATACTTGTTTTGGGCCCCAATAATTTGGTTGTGAGCGAGACTTTTTGTCAATTTGCGTGATACACATATCTGACTGTGGAACTATTTATAACCTTGATTTTCCCAAAAAAATATTAGGTTGATTCCCATTTTTCCTACATAAAATGTATACAAATCCATTGGATCAAATTGCTATATATTAATTAATAGTGTGAATTATAGGTATTTAATGGTAGTAAGTTGTACATACAATGTAGAACATTGTAGCGCATGAACTGCGTAAGTCAATATGTAGCAGGCAATGTCTGGCAAGTGAGCACAGCAAAATAGTTTGATTTACCATAGAAAGACAAGGCCTGTGAACTGCAGATTGGGGTTAAAGAACTCACCTTGATTCCTGAATGGTCCCAGAATGAGGTATGCAATTAGTCCAAACTTCAAGGTGTTGCAGTGAGATTCAGGCCTTCTCGAGGGCTGATGAATCTTTCTTTGAAGGAAAGGTCACAATTTTCATATGCTTTCAGAAAATCAGAAATATTTGAAAAGCCAACTATCCTATCCTTAGAGTCTCTCAAGTCTGCTGATTCTTGGAACTGCTCTGTTATGTGTATTAAACTTCCCACCTGTAATTGACTTTATGAGGGATTTTGGTAAAGATCCCATCAAACACAAAAAACAACTCAAACTGGATTTAATTTGGTCAGATTGACTTAAACAAAATGAAGAAAAGTAATATATTCAAACTAATGGGTGAACCTTGCTGAATTGCTCAGAAACATTCAATTTGTCTGCAATAACTGGCAAAATAACAAAAAAAAAACAAGTGGTTTTGTGAATGTATTGCATGATTTTATTCAGAAACCAGCCATATTCGTTGAGTGTACATTGAAATACTATATAAAAGTTCCATACCCTTTATTATTTATTATAGTATACTGTGGTTATTTAAACCTAACCCAATCCAATACTTTTGTTGCCTGTAAGTGGGTCACTATTCCAATATTTTGGAATATTCGTAAGTATTACTCAGTAAAAACTAGGGACTTAAGTTTATAAAAAATGTTATACTTAATAACAACTTTGATAATTTCAGGAAACTTTTGATAAGACCTGAACACTCATGTGTTCAGGTTAGGAGATACAGTTTTGGGGCCTCTCACCCTGGCCTTTGCCTTAAATGTTTAGGTTATAACAAAATTACATAATATTCATAAATATTACTTACCGGTAGTTGTAAGCCTACAAAATCTTGTTATTAAATATAAAATTTATCCTAAAAATATTTGAAAAATTAAGTGTTAAAAAAAAAGTTGCCAGAACTCTTTTAAAACCTGTTTTAGACTCACTTGTTGGAAGCACGCAATGGAAGTTGTTGCGATCACCCTGCCTGTGTACTGTATGCATGTCTCTTTCACTTATATCTGAAGAACCACTTGTCAGATTTCAATAAAACCTGGTACATAGATTTCCTTGGACTATGCACAGATCAGAATAGTTTTTCATGGATTTTTTCCACTGTTATCTCAAGAACCATTCAACAGATAAGTAGTAGTTCTGAACATAAGCAGTTCTGAAAGATCCACTGCCTTGTTTATTTCTTTGTTCAAATTTGTAAATATGGAAAATCTAATTTGTATGATAATTTTAATTTAGCAATTTTTAGCTGTTTACTATGATTTCACTGAAATTTGGTACACAGATGCTTTGGGGTAAACCACACTTGTAATTCATTTAAGGTTGAATTATTGCATACTAATTTGCATAAATTAGCAAATTTATAGGTATTCCACAGATGTATATTTTAATCTATAGATAGCAGTCAATTCCTGATTAGTGATTACTGCTTTCATTAAAAACTAAACATAATATAACTATAGAATTTTGCAGCACTATTAAAGTTGTAGACATTCATTTTCATCACTTCAAGATGGTATGACTGATCATGATAAACATTTATATATTTAAAAAATATAATCTTATCATTGAAGCACATTTCTTCTATTTTCTTTGCATTTTCTTTGAAACAGCAAATAAAATGGCACTAGACGTATATTGACCAGCATTCAATTATTTTCAAATTCTTGTTTTTAGCTCCGCTGCCGACTTTGTCGAGCGGAGCTTATCATATGAGTGATTGTCCGGCGTCGTCGTCCGTGTCAATGTTTTACTTTTTCAACTTCTTCTTGAAAACTAATAGCCTGTATGCTTTGATACTTGGTGTATATGTACCTTGGGTAGACCTCTCTCAGATTTGTTCATTTCATGATCATATTTTCAATTCTCTAATTTTGGTGAATATTTTTGTAATTTTTGGTAAAAAGTGATATTTTCGACTTCTTGTTTAAAACCGCAAGTCCAATTGCTTTGATATTACATATATAGGTACTACATGTGTATCTCTCTCAGATTTGTTCATTTTGTAATGATATCTTCCATTCTCTAATTTTGGTGAATATTTTTGTCATTTTTGGTAAAAAGTGATATTTTCGACTTCTTGTTTAAAACCCCAAGTCCAATTGCTTTGATATTACATATATACAAATGTAGGTACTACATGTGTATCTCTCTCAGATTTGTTCATTTTGTAATGATATCTTCAATTCTCTAACTTTGGTGAATATTTTTGTCATTTTTGGTAAAAAGTGATATTTTCGACTTCTTGTTTAAAACCGCAAGTCCAATTGCTTTGATATTACATATATAGGTACTACATGTGAATCTCTCTCAGATTTGTTCATTTTGTAATGATATCTTTAATTCTCTAATTTTGGTGAATATTTTTGTCATTTTTGGTAAAAAGTGATATTTTCGACTTCTTGTTTAAAACCGCAAGTCCAATTGCTTTGATATTACATATATAGGTACTACATGTGAATCTCTCTCAGATTTGTTCATTTTGTAATGATATCTTTAATTCTCTAATTTTGGTGAATATTTTTGTCATTTAGGTAAAAAGTGATATTTTCGACTTCTTGTTTAAAACCGCAAGTCCAATTGCTTTGATATTACATATATAGGTACTACATGTCGACCTCTCTCAGATTTGTTCATTTTGTAATGATATCTTTAATTCTCTAATTTTGATGAATATTTTTGTCATTTTTGATAAAAAGTGATATTTTCGACTTCTTGTTAAAAACCACAATCATTTATGGTTAAAAATTATATTTTTGAATTCTTGTTTAAAACAGCAAGTCCCATTGCATTGATACTATGCATATTGTTCATTTTCTAATGATGTCTTCAGTTCTTTAATTGAAATGTGCATTGCTAACAGCGGAGCTATCTCAGCCGAGAGGCTGCTTGTTTAGATTTCTTCCACATTCCCTCTATATGTTATCTATGGAGCTTGCTTCATGAGTGGCCTTCGACTGCTCCTATGCTCATTATTACATGTTATATTTTGCTATATGTGGTAAGTCATTGGGGAGGACGAGTACTGAGTACGATATGTTAATGTCCAAAAAATAATGGTAATCATCAAAAATACGTGAGGATTATTCATTACTCTTTCAGATGGAATTAAAAGTTCCATTTTGCCTCCATCCATAGTCCCTATTTTCTATGGAGTCCAACTGTCTTTTCTAAACTGATCCACACCTTTTCACAGCTTAATCAAATATAGTAATTTGAAAATCAGAAGCAATCTCAACTTCAATAATATCTTTACTGACATATCAAAGTGAACAATTGAGTAGAGTATTGTAAAAACGTTTGGTTAACACATCACTTGCCGACACCATTCATTTCAACAGGTGGTGTGTTAAACGTCATGGGAGACATCTTGCAAATATTGACACAATGGAAATTAGTAAACAATAAGAAATATACCTGTACAAATATTGAAACTGAATAAGACAGAGCAGAGATTATCCTGCATCCACTCTCATTAGTACTATAACTTCAAACTGTTTTCTGTACTATATTTCTCACGTTACTTTTTATTTTATTTTTTGAACAGGTGCTCCAATACAGAGTCAAATAAAGACACATAGAGCTCCATTGAATATGCCAACTCGTTACTTAGGACAACCAACACCTTATACCCACCCACATCTCATGAAATATGGTGAAATCACTCCTGGAATTGACAAACAGGAATATGTACAACGTAGAAAAAGATTGATGTCTGAGATTGGAAAATTATCTGCCAAAGATAAAGTAAAACAGCATCACGTGGTTGTTGTTCTTTCACATCCCCGTATGTACATGACTGACGAAATCCCATACCCGTTCAGACAAAGTACCGATTTTCTTTATTTATGCGGTTTTCAAGAACCTAATAGCATACTGATATTAGAAAGTTTGCCTGATCAGCCGTTACCAGCACACAAATCAACACTCTTGGTGCCAAAGAGAGATGTGCACAGAGAACTATGGGATGGGCCAAGAAGTGGAATTGAAGGCGCACTAGATTTTATAGGTATGAATACAGCTTATAACAATAATGATCTGAGTGAATATCTAACACACTTCACCAAGAAATCAAATGTTGTACTCTGGTATGATTTTCTTAAACCAACACATCCCGCATTCCACAGTAAGTTAATGAAGGGATTAATTCTACCAATTCGTAATCAAGGATGCAGCATTAAAACATTAGAAGAAACATTACATCAGATGAGAGTTATTAAATCACCAGCAGAGCAAGAACTGATGAAACAGTCTGCAATTATTGGGAGTGACGCTTTGACAGACGTCATGAGAAGCAGTCGGCCACTAATAAACGAATCTCATCTATATGCTATGGTTGATTATCAGTGTCGTGTACGGGGTGCTGAATTTTTAGCCTACCCTCCTGTGGTTGCCGGTGGTAACAGAGCTAACACTTTACATTATACAAATAACAACCAAACCTTACAGCCTGATGAGTTAGTCTTAATGGATTCCGGTTGTGAATATCACGGATATGCAAGCGATATAACAAGAACCTGGCCTGTCAGTGGTAAATTCACATCAACACAGAGGACTCTATATGATATTGTATTGGATGTACAGAAGAAGTGTCTGAAGATGTGTTCAGTAACAGACATGACATTGGATAAGATATACAATGAAATGTTGACAATATTAGGAGGACATTTACAAGATTTGGGAATTCTGACAAGGCA